AAAGAAGCAAGTAGGTACTTATTTCACCGTCTTGCCACTTCATGTACACGCAACTGTCGTAGCTGCATCTGACAAATCCAATCTTTAGCATGAACTCATCAAATCGTTTGTACCATTGTCTGAGGCTTTGTTTCAGTCCATACAAAGCTTTCTTCAGCAAGCAAACTTTGTTCTTTGTCTCAGGTGTGCAGTACCCATCTGACTGATCTATGTAGATGGTTTCTTCAAGCTCTCCATGCAGGAACGCAGTCTTAACTTCTAGCTGTTCTAATTCCAAATTGAATTGAACCGCTAGTGCTAAGACTATCCTAATGGAGCAGTGCTTCACGACGGGCGAGAAGATTTTGTTGAAGTCGAATCCTTCTACCTGAGTGAATCCCTTTGCAACGAGTCTGGCTTTGTACCTGATCCTGTCAATACCTGGTGTGCCTTATTTCTTCTTAAAGATCCACTTGCAACCAACTACTCGTTTGTTCTTTGGTCGATCCACAAGTTCCCAGGTTTTGTTCTTCATCAGAGAAGCCATTTCCTCATCCATTGCCTCTTCCCACCTGAGTCTTTCCTTGCTCTTTAGGGCTTCCTTGTAGTTGCTCGGTTCTGCTTCTTCTATCTCTTCGGCAACACTTAAAGCATATGAGATTATATCTGCATGGCTGTATCTATCTGGCGGTCTGATAGTTCTTCTTTGTCTGTCCCTTACCAACCTGTAGTCATCAGATCTTCTTTCTGGCTCAATCACTTGCTGCTCCTCTGCCACTTCATCCTGATTATTCACAACAATCCTTTGATCTGTCAAAGTTCGTTGTTGTTGCAGCTCCACCTCAATTGAAGAATTCTCCTTAGTGATGTTATTTTTGGCAGCATGGCTATACAGATTCGCCATTTTGGACTCATCGAATGCCACATCTCTACTGATGATGCATTTTTGTTGATCTAGGCACCAGAGTTTGTAGCCCTTGATTCCAGGTGGGTATCCAATGAAAATGCACTTCAGAGCCCTTGCTTCCAGCTTATCCTGTCTAACATGAGCATATGCAGTACATCCAAAAACTTTGAGATTATCATAGTTACCTGGTTTCCCGTACCACATCTCCGAAGGTGTCTTCATAGCGATAGCAGTCGATGGGCATCTGTTGATAAGGTAGCAGGCAGTTGACACGGCTTCACCCCAGAAACTTTTGGGTAGACCTGCATTTAGCAGCATGCATCTCACTCTCTCTAGGAGAGTCCTGTTCATCCTCTCAGCCAGACCATTCTGTTGAGGAGTGTTCCGGACTGTCTTGTGTCTTGTGATGCCATTCCTCCTGCACAGCTCCTCGAACTGCTCTGAACAGTACTCTAAGCCATTGT